GAGCCCCTGCAACCCACACCAAGCCTTAATCCCTAAACCTAAACCCGGGACCCTAAACCCTAAACCCTAAACCCTAAACCCTGAACCCTAAACCCTAAACCCTAAACCCTAACCCGAAACCCTAAACCCTAGTCCCAAACCCTAAACCCTAAACCCTAAGAAAACAACAGCAGCCAAACCCTGTCATCCACGAAATGCTCCGGAGCCTTGTCGTCCGGCCAGGGAACTACGAGCCTCTCCGATGGTCGCACATATAGGGTTTAGGGTTTAGGGTTTAGGGTTTAGGGGGTCGGCACAGAACCAGAGAAGTTGGGCTTAGGGTTGAGGGTTTGTTGGGTTCAGGGTTTATAGGGTTTAGGGTTTAGGGTTTGGGGTTTAGGGTTTAGGGTTTAGGGTTTGGGGGTTTAGGGGTTTAGGGGGTTTAGGGGGTTTAGGGTTTATAGGGCTTGTAGGTTTACGCACAGAACCAGAGTATCTGGGCTTAGGGTTGTGGGTTTGTTGGGTTTGTTGGGTTTGTTGGGTTTGTTGGGTTTGTTGGGTTTGTTGGGTTTGTTGGGTTTGTTGGGTTTGTTGGGTTTAGGGTTTCAGGGTTTAGGGTTTAGGGTTTCAGGTTTAGGGTTTAGGGTTTAGGGTTTCAGGTTTAGGGTTTAGGGTTTAGGGTTTAGGGTTTAGGGTTTAGGGTTTAGGGTTTAGGGTTTAGGGTTTAGGGTTTAGGGTTTAGGGTTTAGGGTTTAGGGTTTAGGGTTTAGGGGGGTTTAGGGTTTGTGGGGTTTGCAGGGTTTGTGGGGTTTACAGGGTCGATAGGGTTGATAGGGCTTGGGGTTTAGGGCTGGTAGAGGTGTAGGGGTGTAGGCGTAGGGCGGATCTTTGTTTGCAAGCCCTCAGAGCAAGAGAGAAGGGTAACCACCCTACCAGACCACCTCTCCGCCCATATTCTCCTCTCTGCTGCCTCATTGCTGGGTTTCGGGTTTCGGGTTTCGGGTTTAGGGTTATAGGGTTTAGGGTTAGGGTTTAGGGTATCAGGTTTAGGGTTTAGGGTTTAGGGCTTCGGGTTTAGGGTTCAAGGTCCACGAACAACCCACAAAAAGAGCATACCTAAAGGCTCCTACGTAGTACCTTTTTGGGGGTAGTATGCTGGAATCCCCGATAGGTAACCCAAAAAACGAACGACATGGGAGCCTGCAGGCAGGGATTCTAGGGTTCAAGGGGAACTCCACAAGTCAAAGCCTTAAACCCTCTAAACCCTAAACCCTAAACCCTAAACCCTAAACCTCAAACCTCAAACCCTAAAACCCCAAAAACCCTAAACCCTAAACCCTAAACCCTACTCCTAAACCCTAAACCCTAAACCCTAAACCCTAAACCCTAAACCCTAAACCCTAAACCCTAAACCCTAAACCCTAAACCCTAACCTAAACCCTAAACCCTAAACCCTAAACCCTAAACCCTAAACCCTAAACCCTAAACCCTAAACCCTAAACCCTAAACCCTAAACCCTAAACCCTAAACCCTTCCCACCTCTCCGAGTCGCAGCTTGACAGCCGCATCTCGGCTGCCAGCGCGGCTTCCTTGCTGAGCTTTCCCGTGGCCTGCCGTCCCGGATGTAGGGTTTAGGGCTTTTAGGGTTTAGGGTTTAGGGTTTAGGGTTTAGGGTTTAGGGTTTAGGGTTTAGGGTTTAGGGTTGAAGCCCTCAACCCTAGAAACCCTAAACCCTCTCGGGGCTTAAGGTGCACGCAGGCAGCAGAGTGAGGTAGCTAGACTCTATAAAAAATGAAAATACTACTGCCGGGGTCTTTCTGAGATTCTGCCAGTGCCGGGCACGCACGACGATGCATGACGTGTTTCTTGTTTGTTTGGGTTGCCCTAAACCCTAAACCCTAAACCCCAAAACACCAAAACCCCTAAATCCCCAAAACCCCTAAACCCCTAAACCCCAAAACCCCATAACCCCAAAACCCCTAAACCCCTAAACCCCTAAACCCCAAAACCGCTAAACCCCAAACTCCTTCGCCCCCCGGCCAAGGAGGACTTGCAGGGACTCTGCCCTTGGACCCCTACGGTGGTACCCTTGGAGTCTGTTCAGGGAAGCTCTTAGGGGTTTAGGGTTAGGGGTTTGGGGTACAACCTTAGGGGTTGGAGCCTCAATCCCTTGAGGATTATAGTGTGAGGACATACGTCGCCTGGCATCAAACTCGCAACCTCACCCACGTACTTCCTAAACCCCTTGAAGCCCTGAAACCCTACGCCTAACACCTTTGACATGCCACCTCTACATCCCAAATGGCCACTTGAGAGCTCGTCAACCCTAAACCCAGTAAACAATTGGTGGTATTTTCCAAAACAATGGCAGGCCCTTAAACCCTCTGAACCCGAAATAAACCCTGTATAAACCCTACACACTCTCTAAACCCCAAACCCCCTAAACGCCTTAAACCCTCGAAACCCTCTATAAACCCTCTCTAACCCTACATGAACCCTATATCAACCCTATATAAAAGCAAGGATCCCTAGTATAGACCCCAAATCGTAGGATTCCTTTATACTAAGGACCCCCGATACCAGGTACCCCTAAGTTCGGGAACCCCCAGCTGTGCTCCTATGAACCCATAAACCCATAAACCCATAAACCCCTAAACCCTAAACCCTAAACCCCAACATACCCTTTTAACCCTAAACCCCAACATACCCTAAAAAACCCAAACCCTAGAAACCCTAAACCGATATGATTTGGGGTTTCAGCGCTGCCCATCCTCCCCCTTGGCGTCCGCCAGCACGCGAACGGCTTCGAAGAGCTCGGATGTGAGTTCCGCGGCGGCCTCCCGAAGCGCTTGGCTTGGGGTTTAGGGTTTAGGGTTTAGGGTTTAGGGTTTAGGGTTTAGGGTTTAGGGTTTAGGGTTTAGGGTTTAGGGTTTAGGGTTTAGGGTTTAGGGTTTAGGGTTTAGGGTTTAGGGTTTAGGGTTTAGGGTTTAGGGTTTCGGGCTTACTTGGGGTATCAGGTTCAGGGTTTGGGACTTCGGTTTTAGGGTAGCTGCTTTGAGAATCTCGTAGCCCAAAGACATTTGTCGGTCCACGGCCTTTTGAGCACAGCAAAACCCGAGATTAGGGGGGTACCTTATAGGGGTCCTTACTTTCAGGGAATCCTACTACTTGGGGGTCTTTGGGGTCTACTTTAGGGGTCCCTACTTTCAGAAACCCCCCAGGTGCAAAATCCGAAGGGATTCCCAGCCTTGAGCCCTAACCCTAAACCCTAAACCCTAAACCCTAACCCCTAAACCCCTAACCCTAAACCCTAAACCCTAAACCCTCACTCATCCACAGCTGCTACGCAGAAGTTAGCTCTAAAGTTGAAAGTCAGGCGGGTGGGCAGGAGGGTGGGCAGGAGGGTGGGCCTGAGGGTGGGTGGGAAGCAACCCAGCGGCCAATTGTTTTAGGGTTTAGGGTTTAGGATTTAGGGTTAAGCGTTTAGGGGAAGAATGATAGCGTGTTCTTGAGGGGACGTGAGGGGTGTGGGAAGAATTTAATACGTAGTTGTACATTGGGCGTTTTCAGTGTTTGGGTGGTTCAAGGGTTTGTGCGAAAAAAAGCCAAGACCCAAACCCTCAGCCCGCTAAGCCCGCAAGGGTTCTTTAGGGAACCTTTAGGAGCTTGGGGTTTAGGGTTTCGGGTGTAGGGTTGGTTTAGGGTGTAGAAATGGGGTTTGGTTAAGGGTTTAGAGTTTAGGGTTTGGTGAAGCTGAGGTTTCCCCCCGGCCCCTCCCCTCTCCCCCCCCAAATGCCTCCTGGTAGGATCGTTCCTGTTGGCCGCTTTTCGCAATCTCCTGGGAACTTGGATGGACATCATCAGCCGGCTTGTTTCGAGGTTCTACCTGAAATCTCCAATGTAGTTCCTTTTTTGGTTAGTCATAGGGGATTCCAGACTACTACCCCAAAAGGTACTACATAGGAGCCTTTAGGTAGGTTTTAGGGTTTTAAGCTCTTGGGGTGGTTTGTTCGGGGATTTTGGGCTGCCTTGCTGGGGCCGGACCCCGTATCACACATGGGGGTTTCCGAGATTAGGGGTTACCTTATTGGGGGTCCTCATGATGAGGAGATCCTACCATTTGGGGGGTCGATTTTAGGGGTCCCCTGTTTTCGTAAACCCCCACATGTTCTTTGGAACTGACCTTAGAAGGTGCTCAGGGTTGAGGCAGTTGAAGGTTGTCAAGAGATCGTCTGCTTCAAGAGTTGGAAAGTAGCCCCTGCGCTCCAAGGCCTCAAATGCTGGCAAAAAATCAAGGGGGGGGGGGGGGGGGGGGGGGGGTGCGGAATTCTGGAAAAGCCCAAGCCCAACATAAACCCATGTCACCCGAACCCTCAACCCTCAACCCTAAGCCCTAAACCCTAAACCCTAAACCCTAAACCCTAAACCCTAAACCCTAAGTCCTAAGCCCTAAGCCCTAAAGGTCTAGGGAACAAGCTCGAGGCGCCTCCAAGGCGTTGGGACTCACCGAGGACTGAGCCGTCAAGGCCAGCGCCTTGAGCTGCTCCTCCCAGCCCACCATGCGGCACAAAGCCAGGAGGCCTCAAGGACGGTTTAGGGTTTAGGGCTTAGGGTTTAGGGCTTCGGGCTTAGGGTTGAGGGTTTAGGAAACACTAAGTAAAAAGCTCAGAGTGTTTGACTGAGGAAATATGAGGGGATCGCTTCTTTCGCTCACTGGACTAGGATATTGCGTGGGAGCCTGAAGGCCCTGGACCCTAAACCCGAAATCCGAAACCCTAAGCCCTAAAGCAGCCTTAAGAGGTCGGGGAGTTAATGGGATGTCCGGCATTCCGGGCCTAGCTGTTGGCTCAAATTTTACGGGTTTCCCTACTATTCCTCCTTTATACTACCCTCCCCCCCCTAAAGTTCTGCTTAATTATCCCTAAATAGCCTTAGTTATGGGGGTAAGCCCTAAACCCTAAACCCCAAACCCTAAACCCTACACCCTAAACCCTAAACCCCGTAACGCTAAACCCTAAAACCTAACCCAAGATGCCAGCGTCGCAGTCGTCTGCGATGTGCACATCCCGGTAGTTCTCGGCCTCGTCAAAGCGGAAGCCGATGTTGCCGAAGAACAGCGGCGGGTCCTGAATGCAACCGCACTAGTATGTGAAAAGATAGATAGATCGATAGATAGATAAAAAGAAAAGAATATCTCTACAATACATATATATATGTATATTATATGTGAATATGTATGTATGTGGTAGTAGATTCAATTTTTCAAGCTGATCAGCAGCGGTTCCTTAACAGAACTTAGCAACAGCAAATGGTCAACACTTGTATGGCTGGCTACATTGGCCCCACCTCAGACCCTCAACCCCTACGCCCTACTTTTATCAACCCTAAATCCACATTCCCTCAACCCTGTTTCATATATGAACCCTCAACCCTAAACTCTAAAACCCTAAAACCCTAAACCCCACATTATACCCCTGGAATGGTATAAACGCCAAGGCGCTTCTTGGTTGTGCAAGCCCACTGCCTCTCGGTTGATGAGGAGCCGGGGGCACCTAACTGGTGCTTGTAGGGGCTTAGGGTTTAGGGTTTAGGGTTTCATCTAGGGGTTTCCGAAGTTGGGGGGTACCTTATCATTCGGGGGGCGGGGGGGGGGGTCCTTATTGTAAGGTAATCCTACTATTGGGGGTTTATTCTAGTGGTGCCTTCTTTTCGGAAACCCCCGGTGTAGTTGAGGGTTCAGGGTTTAGGGTAGAGGGTGCAGGCTGCAGGGGACTAGTGGAGTGGATCAACTTCTGCGTAAGAACCAGGTAAGGCACAGGGCGGGGACCTTCCCCAGAAGCCCTGCAAAAGGCATCACCTGCCCAGAATGTTTGAGTGGGAGTGGGCCGGTTGGGGGGTGTAGGGTTTAAGGCGTGGGCACTTTATGGTAGGTGTGGTTTCGGAGGTTGGGGTTGAGGGTCTTAGGGTTTAGAGATTGGAGTATAGACGCTTTCAGACATGAGGCTTCGTGAAATCCTGATATAAGGTGAGGACCCAGTGGCCGTAGGTTTAGGGATTAGGGTTTAGGATTTGTTAGTTTGAGTACTTGTGTAGGAACAGCAGTTCTCTAAGCTTCTAGGGTTCTTCCGGGAGGGGGGTGGAAGGGGGGCACGTAACCCAAGATTCCCGAATACTCCCCACTACTCCCTAAGGCTCCCTTAAACTTCCCTTAAGGTTCTCTGGTTACCTATCCCCCATGAGTCCCCCTCCCATAAGAACCCTATAATCAACCCAGCATCAGCTTCACCCTTTTAAGGGAACCTTGAACCAAAAACAGTAAAAAAGGGTACCACTCGACCCTAAACCCTAAACCCTACACCTAAACCCTAAACCTAAACCCCAAACTCTACACCCTAAATCCCTTGAACCAAAACACGGATAAAGGGTACCACTGGGCGACAAAGGATTCTAGGGGCCCCTCTATCCGAACTCACACCCCCTTCTGGGAAACTAACATCCCCAACCCTGGCGCAGAACACAAAGCCCTGAAGCCTAGAGGGCCTAAACCCTAAACCCTAAACCCTAAACCCTAAACCCTAAACCCTAAACCCTTAACCCTTAACCCTAAACCCTAACCCTAAACCCTAAACCCTAAACCCCTCTGAGCCTTCAGTGAAGTGCCCAGCACCAACAGTAAGTCGCAGCTGCGGCCGTCCCGCTCGGCCAGGTAGGTGAACCGTGCTGGCAAGCCCTGTGGGCCACATGCGTTCTAGGGTATAGGGTTTAGGGTTTAGGGTTTAGGGTTTGGGGTTTAGGGTTTAGGGTTTAGGGTTTAGGGCTTGGGGTTTGGGGTTTGGGGTTTGGGTTGAGGGGCTTGGGGTTTGGGGTTTGGGTTGGAAGGTCCCTTAGTATGATCCCTTACAACCTTCTTTTTATGGGGACCCGAAGTCTGGGCCCTTACTATATGTGTACCTAAATGGGGAATACTTGGGCCCCAAAGTCCCTATATAGCAGGTACTTTAGGGCCCAAGTACTCCCTATTTAGCTACATGGATTAGGGGTATATAATCAGGGTCATATAACAAGGGACCCAAGTTAAGGAGCCATACTTGAAACCCAGGAGGGTTGACGCTCCAGGCTCTTTAGGCCTTTCAGGATCCCTAGAAGCCCGAAACCCTAAACCCTAAACCCCAAACCCGAAACCCTAAACCCTAAACCCCAAATCCCAAACCCTAAACCCCAAACCCTAATTAACCCTCAACCCAGAGGTTTCGGGCTTGGGGTTTGTGGGGCTTCTGGGGGGTTAGGGTTTAAAACTGTAAACCCTACACCCTACACCTTAAGCCCTAAAACCCCCTTCGCCCCCCAAACCCTAACGAAACCCTTACCCTGAACCCTTTAAAACAATAAACCCCCTGATCTGGGGGGTAGCTAAACCTTAAACCCTAAAGCCCCCTTAGACCTCCCAAGCCCGAACGAAACCCTAACCCTAAACCCTGTAAACCCTAAGCCCCCTAAACTCCCGAAACCCTAAACCCTAAACCCTAAACCCTAAACACTACCCTAAACCCCTAAACCCCTAAACCCCTAAACCCCTAAACCCCTAAACCCCTAAACCCTAAACCCTAAACCCTAAACCCTAAACCCTAAACCCTAAACCCCCCCCTTGGCCCTGTCGACTCGCACCCCTCCTCGCCGAAGAAGACGATGTCTGGTTTGATGAGGCCCCCGCACTGGAAGGTCTTGGGCCCCTTCTCCCACTCCTGTTTGCTGCCTTAGGGTTTAGGGTTTAGGGTTTAGGGTTTAGGGTTTAGGGTTTAGGGTTTAGGGCTTAGGGTTGAGGGTTGAGGGTTGAGGGTTTAGGGCCAGTTTAGGGTTTAGGGTTCAGAGGGAAGGTTCAGGGCTTGCTGTCCCAGCTTTGAAGGTTTTAGGGGTTTACTTGGAGGTTCATGGGTAGCTATTCCCCAACAGTGTGGCAACACTTATGGGGTTCCAGTGCAAGGCGTAGTTCTTGTGCGCTTTGAGGTGGCCGGTCCACGCGCACGGCTCCACATCGTGACTCTAAACCCCTAAACCCTAAACGCTAAACTTATAAACCCTAAACCCTAAACCCTAAACCAGGGTTTAGGGTTTAGGGTTTAGGGTGTAGGGTTTCGGGTTGCGCACGGGTTTAGGGCGAATCGTGACAAATCCTAAGAAAATCTTAAGAATCCTACACTCCAGACCCTGAAGCTCATACATCCGAAACCCTAAACCCTAAACCCTAACCGTAAACCCTAAGATTTCGACAGGGCGTTAACAGGTTGACTCCTCGTGCTTGGCATCCGCTTCCGCTGCCCACTTCTCCATGTCCGCCAACTTCGACTTCAGGTTTGCTTCCTGAGTACCCGAATCAGGGTTTAGGGTTTAGGGTTTAGGGTTTAAGGTTTAGGGTTTAGGGTTTAGGGTTTAGGATTTAGGGTTTAGGGTTTAGGGCCCCAATTACATCGCTTACATCGCTTACACTTCAACTCGCTCAAACTGCCCACAGGCAATTGAGAGGGAGGGAAAGTGGGTTGCGCGGTACCTCCATTTTGCAATGGCAGGTCGTTGCAACGCACAAGGCGTAGCAGTCTTTCAGTCGGGGCTTGTAGGGAATAGGGTTTAGGGTTTAGGGTTTGGTGTTTTGGCTTTAGGGTTTGCAGGGTATAGGGTATGGGGTTTAGGGACTGTTAGGCAACTTCACCTAAGGGCTACGGGCACAACCACCGGTGCAAGTACATATACATTTTCTTACTTCTAGCCCAGTAACCATATTAAAGTAAGGGCACCCTTTTGTTGGGGTTGGCTACTGGATGAGGGAACACAGAACCAACAAACGGGAAAAGGGTACCACTGGGCCCTAAACCCTAAACCCTAAACCCTAAACCCTAAACCCTAAACCCTAAACCCTAAACCCTAAAGGCTCCTATGTAGCACCGTTTTAAGGGCATGGCATACTAGAACCCCCTATGACGAACCAAACAAGGGAACTACATCGGAGCCAAAGCCCTAAACCCCCTAGGATGGCCATTTGAAACCCTAAACATGATCCTCAGGGTTTAAGGGTTTATAGGGCTTAGGGTTTAGGGCTTACAGTTTAGGGCTCTTCAACCCAAGAAGTTGCGACCCCCCTTATCCAAACAGTCCTTAATAGAAATGTTGGTACGCCCCCCCCCCCCCCCCCCTCTCATCACCATGAAAGACTGTTAGCACAAGGGGGAACGTCCCAAGCACTAGGGGGAAATATATAACACCCTAAACCCTAAACCCTAAACCCTAAACCCTAAACCCTAAACCCTAAACCCTGAAAGAACCCTACACCCTAAAAAGCTACAGTAGCCCGAACCAAGGTCTGGCTTCTTTAAGGCCGATGTTGGTGAGCTCCGTGAAGTCCGTCGTCTTCCAAGCCTGAGAAGGAAGGGTTTAGGGTTTAGGGTTTGGGGTTTGGGGTTGGGGGTTTGGGTTTTGGGGTTTGGGGCTTAGGGTTAGGGATTAGGGTTTAGGGTTAGGGTTTAGGGTTTAGGGTTAGGGTTTGGGGTGTGAGTTTAGGGTGTAGGGTGTAGGGCGTAGGGTGTGGGGTGTAGGGTGTAGGGTGTAGGGGTCTTTAGAAAAAGAGAAGCCTGCTATCTGGGGACTACATTAAGGGTCCCTTACTATGGCAAACCCCACATGTATGTACGCATGGCATGTAGGCTACTACAGTAGTAGGGCTTGTGGTCGCTGTATCTCAGCTCAAGCTGCATGGAATAACTTCGTTTAGGGCTTGGGGTAGCCAAGTAGACCCGTTGCTCTAAAACTAATTTGCGTTTCGAAAGAACTCTTTTACACTGCTAAGTAGTCTGCATTTCAAAAGAACTCTTTTACACTGCCGGATAGTTCTTGGAAAGGAGCGTGGGGACCGCAAATGGAAAACACCAAGGCACTACTGGGCGTGGGCTTTCCTAGAATGCGCGAAGGCTCCTGGAGATCTACGGGTTAGGGTTCTAGGACCCCCTCATAGGGACATTTTTCCAGTTACCCCTAGTCTGCCTGCATACAGAGGGCAGAAGTGAGGTCGAAAATGATTTTGCTTTTCATTTTGTTTTTTTCTCTGTCTCTCTCTCTCTCTCTCTATCTCTGTCTCCCTCTCTGTTGTGCCGTAAGGGTCTGGATTCTCGGGGTGGTTATGCCCAAAATGTGGTGTGAGAATCAGTGCCTGACATTGTCGGGTCTGGTGTGGCAGGGAAAACTTAAACCCTAAACCCTAAACCCTAAACCTTAAAACGGCACCTTTAAGCCCAAAAACTTTCGCGGGCCTCCGCCCGCAGCGCAGGAAGAGTCTCGAGCTCTTTCTTGACCTCACCCGCCCCGCTCCCTCCTCGGTTGTAGTAAAGACAGATAGCTAGATACATAGTTAGCTAGATGGATAGATCTACATGTCGAATGTCATATCCCAAGTCCCAAATGTGTGGCTGTAGAATAGCAGCCCGCGGATACTGTGCGGAACTGATATGGTCATTCTCACTCTAGAAACATAGCTGAAGGGCAAAAGGTGTTTATAGACCCTAAGCCCTCTAAACCATGTAAACCCTACAAACCCCAACGCCCACAAACCCTACACCTTGTTCAGCCCTAAACCCTAAACCCTAAACCCTAAACCCTAAGCCCTAAACCCTAAACCCCTCAAACAGACTCTTGGCCTCCTCCATCTCCGCCTCGGTCGGCTTCGGTGGAGGCTCCGGCAGCATCCGCGTGGCCGGGCAGCGTGGCAGCTCGTTGCGCTCCTGGGAACGCAGGGCTTAGGGTTTAGTATTCGTGGCCGCCTTGGGCTTGCAGGATAACTACATGAAACCTAAACCCACAACTCCCTCTCTCTGTATATGCACAAATATAAATAAATAAATACATAAAATAAACAAAGAAATAGAGAAATATATGTATATATATATATACAGATGTAGATATAGATATAGAGATAGAAAAAGATATAGATATAGATATAGAAATATATTATGCAAAAGACGGAGAGTCTTGAGAATTCTGACTCCTGGAGTATCGGCTTCAGGGCTCGGTACTTCGGTTTTCGGGCCGCCAAAGCTCGTGGTTTAGGGTATAGGATTCAGGGTTTTAGGGTTTAGGGTTTAGGGTTTAGGGTTTAGGATTCAGGGTTTAGGGTTTAGGGTTTAGGGTTTAGGATTCAGAGTTTAGGATATAGGGTTCAGGATATAGAGTTTAGGATTTAGGGTTTAGGGTGCAGGCTGGGGCCGCGAAACCTGCTGGCTGCAGATCTTCCATCGGGTAGAGAGCTTGAGGCTTCGACCGCCTCGGGCCCTAAACCCTAAACCCTAAACCCCCAAACCCTAAACCCTAAACCCTAAACCCTCAACCCTAAACCCCAAACCCTAAACCCAAACCCTAAACCCTAAACCCTAAACCTTAAACCTTAAACCCTAAACCGGTGTTGAGGCCTCAATCCAGCCAAAGCCTCAATGCAGTCGCGCCATCGGAGCACGTCGTGCTGCTGACGGCACTCCACGCCTAGATCCAAGACTAACCTATTTTTGTTAAAAAGGGTGCCCTTCTTAGCTTAGAGGGGATCCCTAAGGGAACGCAAACCTTAAGAAAAAGGGAAATTAAGGGATCACTCTGAGTCGTAGTAGCCCTAAACCCTAAACCCTAAACCCTAAACCCTAAACCCTAAACCCTAAACCCTAAACCCTAAGCCCTCAAAACAAAGGGAATCTCCGGGCCGATACGTCTGGATCCTAGGCACAGTGCGCGTTGGCAAAGGACCCGTGGGCTTCGACGAGGAGCTCCGGTGAAATGCCGCAGACGCGCTCCAGACCGTCGATGTTCTGGGTGAACCTGTTTAGGGTTTAGGGTTTAGGGTTTAGGGTTTAGGGTTTAGGGTTTGGGGGTTTCGGGTGAACCTGAGCCCGGAACTTGGGGAAGAAGCTTCAGTGGGGTTTAGGGTTTAGGGTTGCCCCTTTAAACCCTGAACACCCCATTAAAACCCCATAAACCCTATAAACCCTATAAACCCTATAAACCCTACAAACCCTATAAACCCCATAAACATGGATGTTTCAACAATACTTTTATCGACATCGAATCCGTATCGGTACCGAACCGTGAGGTATCGCTCATGCGCGGTATCGATATCGAACCGAATCGAAGCAGACCAGTATCGAGACACATCGCCATCAACATCGAGTGCTTATCCATTAATAGGCCGCAGGCTTTTCCAAGAAGCACAGGGGAGCGAGGTGTGTCAACAATACTTTTTGCCCTAAAAAAAACATGTAGACATTGCCCTGAAGAGCTCCCCGATGGCACCCCCCAAAACGACCGCGAAACGACTCAGTGTCTGCCACTAACTCGTTTCGCGGGTCTAGGTCCAAAGCCTCTTTTGAGAGCTCCCCAAAGGCATCCCCCAAGACGACCGTAAAACGAGTTGGTGGCTGCCACTAATTCGTGTCGCGGTTTTAGGTATTAAAGCCTATAAACCCTATAAACCCTATAAACCCTCTAAACCCTATAAACCCTATAAACACTACAAACCCAATAAACCCTACAAACCCTATAAACCCTACCCTGTAAGGCTTAGTGGGTCACCCTGAACCCTTAACCTTGGCTTGAGCTGGGTTTTCGGAGCGAGGCAGCTGTTAGGGTTTAGGGTTTAGGGTTTAGGGTTTAGGGTTTAGGGTTTAGGGTTTAGGGTTTAGGGTTTAGGGTTTAGGGTTTAGGGATGGGTTCAAGGTGGAAGGTGCAAGGTGGACGTTGAAGCGATGACAAAACAAAAAAAACTCAAAACAAACTCCGCTGCCTGAACCTTTCCCTAAACCCTAAACCCTAAACCCTAAACCTTTTTTTCAACCAGGGAGCAGCCGCAACAGCAGACCCTTCTCCTCTAGCAGCCGGATGAAGCAGTGGGTCAGCGTGGGCACGTACTTCCCGGGAAGGAGCTCCTCTGACCATTTGAACCCGGAACCGAAGTGTCGGGTTTAGGGTTTAGGGTTTAGGGTTTAGGGTTTAGGGTTTAGGGTTTCGCGACTGAGGCGACTTAGGATTGCGGTGGATCCAGGGCAAAAACCAATTTTGTTGAGGCTTCCGAAGCCCTGTGATCTAAAACTTCCTTGACTGTCCAAGCGCTGTGACCCTAAACCCTAAACCCTAAACCCTAAACCCTAAACCCTAAACCCTAAACCCTAAACCCTAAAGGACGGTGAGGCGCCAGATGCCGGCAAAGGGCTGAGGAGGCGAAGTGTCGAATGATTCAACCCACAGGGTCCATGCACTTGGGCCTTACAGGGGTTCCTATATAGTAGTTTTAGGGTTTAGGGTTTAGGGCTTAGGGTTTAGGGGGACCCAAATATATACTATCTAGGTAAATGGACCGTAGGGTAACAGAAACACGGTGAAACACATATAATGATCTTAAGTCCTTCTTGGGATGCCGAGTGTCCTTGCAATGTATAGCGCTGCTTACCCTAAACCCTAAACCCTAAACCCTAAACCCTAAACCCTAAACCCTAAACCCTAAGTTCGTTCTCGGAGGGAGGGGGGGAAACCCGAAACCCAGTGGTCCACCCCACCTTGGCAAGGTCACAAAATGGCTGAGGCTTCTCTTTGAAATAGTCCAAGGTGAAGACCTCAGCCGACTCTCTAAAAAAACCCTCTAGACAACTACTCAGGGATGAGGGCCTAGGGTTTAGGGCCAAGGTTTCTAGGATCTTTTGCTTGCTTCTCTGAATAGAGCCAATGAAGAAAGTGGACAACAAAATCCCAAGAACTTGCCTGGACACGGACTCGGGCGTCGGAAGCTGGTATTTCTCCAAGTTGTCGTAGAGGCCGGTGCCTTCCAGGTGTACCACCCTAAACCCTAAACCCTAAACCCTAAACCCTAAACCCTAAACCCTAAACCCTAAACCCTAAACCCTAAACCGCATGCGGGTGGCTCTCAACTATGGACTCTTCGCTGGGTGCCGTATAAGAGCCCTAAACCTCAAACCCCACAAAATATACTCAAATGTCTCAGTTGCCTCCTACTGCACGGTTCCACAGAAGAGGAGATGCGAGAGAAAGAGAGAGAGAGAGAGAGAGCGAGCAAAACAAAAAAAGTGAAAGAAATAAAGAAATGAAGAAATAACGGAAGCAAGAAAGAAAACAACAAGAAAGAAAGAACGGTTCTGGAGCGCAGGGGTCGTGAAACAAACAACCCGAAGGTCAACGTCTGAAGCCTAAACCAAGCCCTAAACCCTAAAACCCTGGCCCTGAACCCCCCAAGTGCTGTAAGCCCCCAAACCCTAAACCCTAAACCCTAAACCCTAAACCCTAAACCCTAAACCCTAAACCCTAAACCCTAAACCCTAAACCCTACAAGGTGCCTGGAGTGCGGAAATCCGGGATGCCAGCCGCCACCGAGATCCCGGCCCCAGCTGCCACCTAGGCTACTGTAGATACGGGGATTTCCGGGTTTAGGGTTTAGGGTGTTTAGGGTTTTTAGGGTTTAGGGTTTAGGGTTTAGGCCTTAGGGAAGCTTATTGGGGTCCTTTATATAATGGGATTCCTACTATTTCGGGATCTATATTGAGGCCCCCCCCCCCCCCTATTTTCGTAAACGCGTAAACACCCATATCGTCAGCAATGATTCTTGTTCGGGTTTCGGGGCTTGGGTAGTTTTAAGATTGCGGGTTGAAGGATCTAAGTCCCTAAACCCTAAACCCTAAACCCTAAACCCGAAACCCTAAACCCTAAACCCAAAAGAAAGGGGAGAACCAGGGAGGACCAGTGCCACCATCTTTCGACCCGAAGCCCTAGACCCGACTCCCCTAAGCCCTGGCGAACCGATGGGTTTAGCCCTAAACCCTAAACCCTAAACCCTAAACCCTAAACCCTAAACCCTAAACCCTAAACCCTAAACCCTAAACCCTAAACCCAAAAACCTAAACCCTACACCCTAAACCCTACACCCTAAACCCATGTAGCCCAGGCCGCCAGCACGCGCCGGACTCGGCCATCACGCAGCAGAGCTGCAATAGCCTCAGACTTGAAACCAAAGGGTTGTTTAGGGATTAGGGTTTAGGGTTTAGGGTTTAGCCCAAGTAAGTGTCCACGTTGAAAATAGGAACTGGGATGATCCTAAAGCCCTAAACCCTAAACCCAAACCCTAAACCCTGGGCTGTGTGGGGTGTCCGGTTTTCGGAGTCGGCTTGTAAGGCCCCCCAAAAAGCTCGGCTGCACTTTGGCACGTTAACCCTGCTCAGAAACCCACTAAACCAACGACTAAGGCTCTACCATTCCAGAAGAAGCCACAGAGATAAGGTTGCGACCGTTCATAATCCCAGTAAGATCTAAGGTTCCAAGTATGGGCCTCGACTTTGGGCCCTTTGTGATATAAGCCTTATATACATGATGCCTATAAGACAAAAAGGGAGTAAGGGTACTACTTATAACCAACCATGAAACTATATAAAAACGAACCATGAACCTTCCCTAAACCCTAAACCCTAAACCCTAAACCCTAAACCCTAAACCCTAAACCCTAAACCCTAAACCCTAAACCCTAAACCCTAAACCCTAAACCCTAAACCCTAAACCCTTCACATAGACCCGATTGATGCAACACCAAGCCCCTAGCTCTTGACTAGGGGGCTGCGGGGGTTTAGGGCTTAAGCCTCAGCCCTAAACCCTACACCCTAAACCCTAAACCCTCAACCCTCAACCCTAAACCCTAAACCCTAAACCCTAGCCCTAAACCCTAAACTTAAACCCACTATTGAGCTCCCGAACTCTCACCTCATTTGGGGGATTACGGCGCCGCCTCGGGGGTGGCCGCGCCCAGGACGGCCTCCCCGGAGCCCCAGAAACCCCAAAGGCTCCACTTACTCGGGAGCACGTAGGGTTTAGGGTTTAGGGATTGGGGTTTGGGGTTTGGGGTCTAGGGTTTAGGCTGCAGGGTTTTGGGTTTAGGGTAGATGTTTGATTTTGTTTCTTGCTGGTGGGGGCGAGGTAGGGCTTAGGGTTTAGTGTTTGAGTTTTTCTTTGAGGGGGGAGGGGGGGAGGGAGGTAGGGATTAGGGTTTGAGGTTTGAGGTTTAATTAGGGTTTAGGGCTTAGGGCTTATGATTTGGGGTTTAGGGCGTGGTGTGAGTTGGGGGGGGGGGGGCAGGCTCCGGCTCTGATACTACGGAGCCTTGCATTCAGGGCACCCCCAAAAGGGCACATGATCGTGAAAATCCCGCGTGTGAACGTTGCGGCTACTGCTTGAAGATTCAGGGGCGCCGTAAGAAGGCTCATTCGCCAACTATGACTACAACTATATATCCCACATGCACTCCCAGTTGTAACTACCCATGAACCTCAACGTAACGGTGAGGGAGTGAGTTTAACAAAAGAGTCGAATCAAGCAAGGACTCGCGCTTTTGGGCTTTGCAACCGAAAGACCATGCTATATGTAGCAGCGTTGCAGTTTGTTTATTCTCCTTCTTCAAGTTCAAGGAAGGGCCCCTAAACCCTAAACCCTAAACCCTAAACCCTAAACCCTAAACCCTAAACCCTAAACCCTAAGCCCTAAACTAGGCTCAGGATGCCCACAAACCTTGGGCAGTATGGGCTGTTGGTCATAGTCTGCTCCTCAAAGAAGAGCCCTCAGCGCGTCAGGAACAGTCGAATCTTAGACTCATTACTGCACCCTTATCTGCTCCTGAACCCTGCAAACCCTAAACCCTAAGAAGTCTAAACCTAAAAAGACTACACAAAAAAAAACCCAAGCCCGAATACCCTAAAGACCTACGACAGTCGAGGGCTTACGCTCTTCGGGGTACGTGTGGGGCGCTTGTATTCGCAGCGCCTGCTGAAAACAAAGGTCTCAAAGCTCTGGCTTTCGCGACATACGTGGCCCTCTCTTACGCAGAATATTTCTCCGGATCCTCACCAAACCCTATACCCGAATAACCCTACATCCTAAATCCTAAATCCGAATAACCCCAAAACCCTAAACCCTAAACCCTAAACCCTCCTACCTTCCTAAACCCTAAGCTCGGGCCTTCCGGGCTGCCTCCGGAAGGTCTCCAGGTTCCGGGACACTGGCGGCGCCGCCCATGGAGGTCCAAGGTGGCGTTGAGAGGCTCAGGGTTAGGGTTTAGGGTTTAGGGTTTAGGGTTTAGGGTTTAGGGTTTAGGGTTTAGGGTTTAGGGTTTAGGGTTTAGGGTTTAGGGTTTAGGTTTGGGGTTTAGGGTTTAGAGTTTCGGGTTTAGGGTTTAAGGTACACTAGGGTTTAGGGTTTGTAGGGTTTTGAGATCTAGGTGTCTAGGGTTTGGGGGTTTAGGGTTTAGGGGTTTAGGGGTTTTTAGAGTTGGGGGAGTTCAGGGAGTTTGGGGAGCTCAATGCTCAAAGGCTTAGGGCTTAGGGTTTCGGGTTTAGGCTGCAAGCGAACTAAGCCCGTGTGGCTCGAGCCAACGGCAGCCCTAAACCTTCTTCCGCCCTTCTTTGTTGGGGTTTAGGGCTTAGGGCTTAGGGTTTAGGGGTTTAGGGTTTAGGGCTTAGGGTTTAGGGTTTAGGGTTTAGGGTTTAGGGTTTAGGGTTTAGGGCTTAGGGTTTAGGGTTTAGGAAAAGGGGCCGCGCAGGGTACACATCTGACCTCCAACCTTAACCGGGTTTCAGTGCAAGGCGTCAGACCCTCAGGGTCCATGCACCTATGTAATTTATACTGGGGCCTTCAAGGGGAACCCATGTAGTAGCTTGCGGAAAGAACCTAAACCCCAAATAGAAGGAACAAGGGCCTACTCTGGATCCTGGTAGCATGTAACCCTAATATACCCTACACCTCAAAAAAAGGATTAAGGTCCTACTCTCGGGCCGAAGGATATACTACATAGGTACATGGACTCTTAGAGAGGGAGGGAGGCGATGGGAATGGAAGGCCTCATGTTGTCTCCGCACAAGCGGGCTGATTGATCGAGGGATGTCGGGTTCGAGGGTTTAGGGTTTGGGGTGTAGGGTTCGGGGGTTTAGAGTTTAGGGGTTTAGGGTTCAGGGCTTCGGTTTCAGAGTTCAGGGGTTGAGGGCTTGGGGGCCTGGCCAAGGCTCTGGCCCCCGAAGACCTGAAAGGAGTTCTTGTGTTTACTGTGGCCCTCATCACCTGTAATCCTAAACCCTAAACCATAAACCCTAAACCCTAAACCCGAAATTCCTTCACAATTGATCTCAGGTGCCTTCCCCCCCCCTAACCCTAAACCCTAAACCCTAAACCCTAAACCCTAAACCCTAAACCCTAAACCCTAAACCCTAAACCCTAAACCCTATAAACCCTAAAACCCTAAACCCTAAGCCCGCCCTCAACCCCCCCCCCCCCCCCCCCCAACCCCCCACCAGCTCATCATGTGACTACTGAAGGTGCTCGAAGATAGGGCCCTGAACTCTGAACCACCCTAGACTTTTGAGCCCCAAGCCCAAACCCTAAACCCTAAACCCCAAACCCTAAACCCTAAACCCTAAACCCTAAACCCTAAACCCCTAGCCCTAAACCCCAAACACCTAAACTTTACAAGGGCTTCGGGTTTCCCTGGCACCTGAGAGGCCTCCGGCATCTGATTCGAAGACAAGCCCAAAGCTTCCTGGCGTTTGGGAGTTTAGGGTTTAGGGCTAGGGTTTACGGTTAAGGGTTTGGGGTTTAGGGTTTAAGGTTTAGGGTTTGGGGCTTTGGGCTTGGGGTTTCGGCAGGCTATCCTACACAGTTTAGGGTTTGGGGCTTTGGGCTTGGGGTTTCGGGTTTGGGGTTTGGGTGCATGTTGGGGTGTTTGGGGGTTTGGGCTTTTTGAGCCTTTGGTTTCTCGAGGGCTTCTCGGGGTACAGGACTTGTAGCGGGGGTTTCTTTCCTTTTGGGGACCGGCGCGGTTTAGGGTTCTAAGTAATTATTGTGGCTTCAGGGTTCAGAGACACACACACACACTGTCCGTCTGCCTGTCTTCTTGCTTGTCTGTCTCTGCCTCTGCCTCTGCCTCTGCCTCTGCCTCTGCCTCTGCCTCTGTGCCTCTGTGCCTCTGTGTCTCTGTGCCTCTGTGCCTCTGTGTCTCTGTGTCTCTGTGTCTCTGTGTCTCTGTGTCTCTGCGTCTCTCCGTCTCTCTGCCTTCCCCCTTATGCTAACAATCCTTAACAGGATTCTAGTACCCCCTATTACAAACCCTAAGCCCTTATCAAGGACTGTTAGTACAAGGGGGAACATCCCAACCCTAACGCCTCAAGCCACCTTGGGTCTTAGATTCTCGGGGGGCGGGTTGGGGCACCCAGAACGCACCCCGAAGTCCCCGACCCTAAGCCCTAGCCCTAAACCCTAAACCCTATAAACCCTATAAACCCTATAAACCTTATAAACCCTATAAACCCTACAAACCCTATAAACCCTATAAACCCTATAAACCCTATAAACCCTATAAACCCTATAAACCCTATAAACCCTATAAACCCTATAAACCCTATAAACCCTATAAACCCTATAAACCCTATAAACCTATAAACCCTATAAACCCTATAAACCCTATAAACCCTAAATCCTAAACCCTAAACTGCAAACCCTAAACCCTAAACCCTAGCCCTAAACCCTAAACCCTACAAACACTCTACAAACCCTCTGAACCCTGTAAACCCCATATACACCCTATCAACCCTTCACCCTGAACCTCCAACCTCCCCCACCCCCACCCTAAAGCCCAAACCCTACACCCTAAACCCTAAAGCCTAAACCCCAAAACCTAGCCGCCCTCCCCCGCAACCAAAAACCCCTAAACCCTAAACCCTAAACCCGAAACCCGAAACCCTAAACCCTAAACCCTAAACCCTAACAAAAACTGGGCAGGCGGGGCGAAAACTGGATCTGCGGACTGCGCCATCGAAGCGTTCTTTTCGCGGGCGGCCCTTGCACCAGGCGGCCGGAGATCCCCAAAAGCTTAGGCTTACGTATCTGCAGGGTTTAGGGTTTAGGGTTTAGGGTTTAGGGTTTAGGGTTTGGGGTTTGGGGTTTGGGGTTTGGGGTTTGGGGTTTGGGGTTTGGGGTTTGGGGTTTGGGGTTTAGGACTTGTACTTGAAGGCTAATGGGTACTTAGAAGTATGGCGATCAGAACCCTGAATAAGGTTCTAGCCATGGTTACTAGTTACCCTACTTCTTTTCCCTACCTGCAAGTACCCGTGCACCCCCAAGTAGAGTTTGCCCGATTTAGGCCTCAGGGTCTATTGTGACAATTAGTGTCTGTTTCATGGGTAGCTCATGGCAGGGATATACGTGGCTCCCACGCACCAGGCGTGCCCATGGCCAGCCCTGCCTTGTAAGCAGAACTGCAACCG